TATGCAAATTGCATGTACTAAGGAATCAATAAAATTAAAATTATCAATCAAATTAAAATCACCAATGGTTGAATAAACCTTTCCAATGAAAATGATTTAACCATTAAGAATGACACAACAACTAAAATGTTTTCAAAAACCAATGCCTTACCCACAACTGGATGAGGTTCAATGTCGCTTCTAGTCTCCTTCCACGAGAGCAGGTAGCCAAGGCTGGTAAGATCTGCAGATTCTATATAACTGTTCACTGTCAGCATCATCTGATGGGCTTTTGCTATTCCGTAATGAACTTTTGTTTCCTCCATCAGAGGCATGTTCATTTCCCCAACTGTTGCGTCAAAAGCTTGCTGAAAGTATTCAGAAGCTTTGTTGTAGTGTCCCTAAAAAGGTAAGAGAGATAAGAAAAATAATTTTTCCTTAATTTTTATTTCACTGTTTCACATATTTGCACACTTGACCCTGGCATGTGCCACACTGATCTTCCAACAGTTATAGCAGTTCATCTTCAAGAAGAAAGGGATGGCAAGCAGGCTCTCTATCAGAAGAAGGTCCTTTTTTTAAACGGTTGTGATTACTCACCATTCATTATCTTCAAATTAATTCAGTTGGAAATTGTATCTATTCATTTAAACTGTATGAAACTTGAGTTCTTGTGGATAAAAAGTGATCAAATGCTGGCAGTTTCATACGGTTCAACCTAATACATGGTAACAAAAAGAAGTTTGGGAATGAGTGAACCAATTCACATTGATTTGGACAGAATTTTATTACTCATAGAGTTGGATTTACGTAATGAAATATATTTAACTATCTTTGTTTTCAGTCACAGCAAATGGTCATTTTCAGCCAATTCCTTTAATTAGTAGCCAGTGAAAATAAACGTATTTATCTGTGGATTCAGTTACTGTTCTTGTTTTCCCATGTACGCATGTCATTCTTTTTTAAAAATTTTTAATTATTATGGGTACATATATATTTACAGGGTACATGTGATGTTTTCATACAGGCATACAATAAATATTAACTCATTGTTGATTAGAGTCACTTTGTTGTGCTATCAAATATTGTTTATTCTACGTATCTAACTATATTGTGTGCATGCCATTCTTCTGAACTGAGAATGTTGAGTTATTCAAAATTTCTAAAAAATATTATTTTGAGAGCATTAGCACAAATCAAGTGATCATTTAAATATCTATCTTTTCAATAAGTCCTTTGCAATATTTCATGTTGCAAAAATTCAAATTTTTGTCATCCTCATCTCTCCTAAAAGCTATTGTCCACAGATAGTGTTTACCTAGCTCTTATGAAGCATTAGGACCAGTGCTAAATACTTCACATGTATCATGTCATTAACCTTCACGTATTTGCCTATGAAGAAAATTATCCTTATTTTACAGATAATGAAATTGAGTCTCAGAGAAGAGACTATCTTCTGCTACTCCCAAATCTTCTGAAAATCCTCATTAAAAATTCTTCCCCAGAGGAGGGTATTACCTCTAGGATTGGCCTGTACTTGTAAAGGCTCTAGGGAACACCATTTCCTCTATTCACTGACATAACCCTCCCCTCCACTCGCCTCCCTTCTCCCCACCCCCAAACACACAAACAAAAACATGCATGCATGCTCTTTTGAAAAGAAACCATTACAAGACAGAATGTTTTACTATATGAGTTTTCAAGTTACTTTCTCACAACATTTTGTGAAAGAAATGGATATAAGAATACCACAGGAATAGCTTTATAGCACACATCAGGACCAATAAAATGCATTCTCATCTCCATGAACCCTTACTGACGTAATCATGAAGTTCCGAGAGTGGTCAAACTGAATAAAGAAGGTGCTGGCAAGGTGAGGAGGGGGAGAAATAGGGCTTGTGTGATGGTTATGTTACATACATGAGCAGCACACATAACACTGTGTTATATGCCCACAAGGACAGTTCAGGACAACTGTTTATTCAAGTGACTCATTCCAACTAAAATTTGTTAATTTAAACAGAGTCCCTCTATATTAGATCAACAATAATTTTTGTTTGTTGTGGTGAACAATTCTTTCTCTTATCTCAAAGTATAAAACATAGAATTTATGTGAGAAAAAGAGTAATTAGAAAAAATAAAATTGTATCAAAAATATTTGTATGCCAGTTAAGTAAACTGTGATTGAGAAACAATACAAAT